ATGTAATTCATATAAACATATGTGCTATTACTTAACTCAGATGTGAAGAAACTAGACCATAACAAGCAAACTAAGTTCTTTAATTGTTGGTTTGAGAAATTAATGGAGCATTTCCAGTAATCTCTTGTGCACCCGATTACTAAATATTTAAATAAAGAAAAGAAAAGGATTGCTGTTAATCAAACTCTTTAAGCATCTTTGATATGCTAGATAAGGTGGCTACTAGCAATAATCATACCTCTTTGAAAAGAACATCTTCAGACTCCTCTGGGCTCAGTTCTGCAAGAAATGTACATATCTGTCACACATTTGTGGGTCTCCAGAAAAGAATTTTACTTTAGCATTTGTCAATCAATAGTTAAACCAAAGCAATCATTCAATATGAGTACTTTGAGATCATGCAACTCGTACATTAGAAAGATATTGCAATGTCACGTTAGTTTAAATAATAATCTCTTATTTATTATTATTATTTTTTATTAACCTGGATATCCAACCCGCTATGCGAGCCGACTAATCTCTGGGCAACTACATGCTTTGCAGATAGCAAGGAGTTACCGCATTTGAACCTCCATGGCCACTAGGGGATTTTTATTCCTCCTTGGATTTGAACCTGGGACCTCCTGGTACTTTTGACCCTTGGAGCCAAGCTCAAACCAATCAGGCACCACCCTTGTGGTTAATAATAATCTCTTATTATATCCACCTTGATGTGAATTAATATCCATTTAGACTGGCTGGGTTAAGAAAAATTCCTGTTCAGCCAACTATTGATACCAAAAATAGTAGCTCATATTTTTGTCGGTTGATGAAACAGTATCAAATTAAATGCACTTACCAAATGCCTCCATAAACTTTGGGTCACCTGAGGACTTGACATCTGCATATAGCAAAAAGGATAAGCATTACTTACATCTTGGACAGAATGAATATACATAGAGCTCATCATTCATTTGCAATGAATTCATTTTCCATAAACACAAGAAAGAAACAAGTTTTACAACACCACCTTTGCCAACAGAAAAAAAGATGAAGGGCATGAGAAAAAACTTGGGAATGACGAACAATACATAGATCTACCAATATCAATCGATGGTATTTATAGCAGCTGAGTACAATCTAAAAGTCATAATTGCTCCAAATTGGAACCATTACTCTCTTCATAGCAAGGGCTCTGTGTTTGTCATCTCCAATCAACAAAAACTCCGCAAGCACTGAATGATATCCCTTTAAGCATTTAGAGAAACTAACGTAAAGGAAAAAAAGTAACTTGAAAAATATACACATGGGTTAAAGAATGAGGTGTTCCACATGACAAGCACATTTAGTGACTTAGACACTACAAAATAAGCCAAAGCTATGAGCTAGCAAAGTGGACAGTCATGAGAGATGAGACCACATCTAACACTGGGAATAGCTAACATAGCAGCTAAAGACCGACTTCGAAAACATCTACTGAAAATAGAAGATAAATGTAAAAAGAGAACTCAAAAGATTTCTAACAACTACACAAACAATAAGCTTATCTTCAAAGTTTGCCAGAATCTTGGGCAGAAATTACCTGACATAGTCTGTCGAGCAGAGCTCAGACGCCGCAGTTGAGCCAGTGCAAGCACGATGCCATCTTCAACCTATAAAATAACAGTAAGAGATTTAACAAGACTTATTAAACTAATAGCAACCATCATCATGCATCATTGTATAATTTGTTCATAAAAGTAAAAAACCTTCAAGCAAGCAAGCTCCTTCAAACCCATTTCGACAGAGAGCATACTCTCGATATTCCCTTCACTAGTTAGATCATTCAAGTCCTGGACAAGCTTACTCCTCCTTTCCAGATTGCCATCACCTGTTGGATAATGTGAAAGGACAAATGCATGATGAGACATCAACTTACACACTAATTTATGAGATAACCACTCCACTACAACAATGTAAGCACCCAGTATTGAGAATTCTCAGTAAGGGCTAATGAGCAGTTACTAGCCTTGTTCCCAGCATTCTTCCTTTGCCTTCTGCCCGGCTGAAACCACAACTTCGAAGGGAAGGGGTGCCAAAGATGACCAGTACTCATGCTTAGACACTGCAATATCAGTGCAAATACCTAGAAAATGACACATTTCATAGGCATAAGGTCCACATGTTCAAGAAACTCAAACAGACAGGAACATTTAAGCTAGGACACCCAAGGTCAATAGATAACTTGAACTAGACACTTAAATCTGATGGAGATAGGGCCACAAAATTATTCTGGTATCAAGTTTACCACAATAATTTTAACCTCCTGATGAACTTTCACAGCTTTCACTCTCTGTGTACATGTGTGATACACACACACAGAGATTCACAGGTTCTCATCTGAACCTTCAAACAGAATTGAAGATAAAATGAACTGAAGTTACCTGAAACTCTTGCTAATAAGTGACACAAATTGCAAACAAAAAATTTAAAAATGGTGAAAAAGTAAATTCAGTGACAAACAAGCTTATACAAAAGAGTTGTGTTGTTCTGACCTACCATATGTCGCAACACATGGGGGAAAACGGGAAATTCACTGACAAACAAGTTTATACAAAAGAGCTGTGTTTTTCAACCTACCATGTCGCACCGCTAAACCCCAGTAGCGTGCAAGCCAACACCGCTTAAGTACCACTTCCTCCTGTGATTTTGATATATCATATTATGGTAAAGAGAGGTCTTGAAAAAATAGCACAACTCTACATGATAACATACCATCTCACTCTGAGTTAAAACCATCCTTTGTGTCATTGAGTGAAGAGCTTTAACTTCAGACTCGATTCCCTGAAGTTGGTCCATAACAACTGTCGCCTCATCTTTGGCTTTCTGATTCATATGAATAGCACTTATCAAGCTACATATATAAACACAATACATCAACTGAACTCTAAAGCATATTCTTTCAACCTGAAATAAGAGCCCAAAAACTTTCAGCCAAACATTTTGAGCAACGTCAGAGAACACCTTAAACACCCTATATCATTTTGTATATCATATCATACACTTGTATAATAAGCAACTAAATTACTAACAAGCCCTCGCAAACCCTCTATTATGATGTGTCAGTCGTAGAGAGTCCAATATTTCTGAAACTGTTATGGACACGTCATCTGGACTCTTTACTTAATGTCTTTTACCTAAGAGGTCCTTTAAATACAATTTAAATATTTCTAGTATTACAAATTGTTTATAAATCAATTCAACTTGTACCACAATTCTTGGAAACTAATTTACCCTTTAGTTCAATCAAGGTTTCATAGCAAAGATCCTGAATTTCGGAAATGACAACCACCCAAGAGCGAACAATCAAGTCTGATTTACACCCATTATACGTGTTAAAATGATCTCACARGTTTGTGACTCGTTTCTCAAAAACCCTGGATCCAAGATTATAGTACATGGCCTAAGTCCATGCATATTGCACTTTCAGCCAAGAACAAGTGTTGGATCATCAATGGGGGTTATACAGCATCAGCAACGGACTCGTCTATGTTCGTTTATTGGGAAGAACCAACATGGTGGCATCTAGGACTCTCAACATTGTCAAGAGAGTAGCAAATAGTTTGGGATTCCTAACTAATGCTGCTGCCATATGGAAAGAATTGGTGGACAGATTTGGAGATTTTCAAATGGATGAAGGTTGAAGTTGTAATTCATATATAAAGTTAGCTACGGAGACAAAAATCGAAAATGAAGCTTAAGATAAGCATTGAAACACTTTCCGAAGAGTTAGATATGGAAGAGGGAAACAGGAATATGTTAAGAAGTTTCAGTGGCGTTGCTTTTCTGGGTTTCTTTAATTGTGTTGATTTCATAGTGTTAATTTTTTGTGTAACACAAAAAATATGTGAAGATGTTGTCTAAATTTGTGATCGTGGTGATAGTGAAAGAGACAGAATATACAAGCCTTTGAAGTTGGAAGCTTTTTCAAGTCTGCAAGAGGAGCTTGGAGTTTGTGAGAAGATAAACTGATTGTTGTCACAACCATTTAGGAGAGACATTGTTGGGTTTTGAATTAGTATTTTGCTGTTATGACTAATGAGTGGGTCAATAAGTTCCTTATTATTAGGGATCAATTTCGTAGACCAGGTCAAGTTTTCTTGTTTTTTCTGTTTCTTTTTCAGCACATTAGCCTCTGTTAGTGGAGTAGTGGTTTGTGGCATCTGTAGGTTGCCAGGCCATTTAAAGGCCAAAAAATTTCATTGAATCTTATCAAAGTATTTCCCAAACTTGTGTGAAACTACTTTAGACTAACAGTGTGGGAGATCGTTTGCCTTTTTTTACCTCAATGAATGTTGAGAGAAGGGGGTTATGAGGAGGTTGAGTGTTCAATATCTAACTTGACACACTTAAGCTTCTTTTAAAGATGTCATAAATCTTAAAATGAAGGAAGGTAAAACAGGGTTTTCTATCTAATATTTTAAATATAACTCTAATAGCCCATGGGTCAAAATGGTAAAACTAGAGGCCAAAAACTGAATGTAGAAAATTAATTTCACATTTATCTAATA